ACATACATCCATCCATACATACATATTGGATCTCCAATGCTCGAGAACTCGCTGAACAGCCCTAAAGTCGCACAGGCAAGACCTTTCTGTGCGACCCCAACGTGGGAGTCGGCCACAGATCAAAGCTCGAACATCTCTGATCTTCAACATTCCGAACGGATGCTCCGATCGACGGAGGGGCACCAAATAAGCTGGCGATCGCGCCACTTTCATCCGAACGAAAACATGAAAAGAGATATTCCCAACTAAGCATCTTCCTCCGGAAGCTTGGACTGCTGGACCTCGACCGCGGCATCATCAGCTTCGTGACCCGACCGGGCCGGATCATCCCGCAGAGCGGCATAAGCAGCAGGGCGTAGAGCACCCTCATGATGGAACAGGTCCCCACGCCAGATGTGGTTTCCCTTCATGTGGGGCCATGGCAGGATCCGCCGGCAGAGCCACAATATCACGATATTCCCGAGCTGTGGCGGGATCCGCCCGCTGAGCAGCGGCATCACGGCTGTGATGAGCAGGCGGGGTGACCCAAGGCACACCACGGCAACAAAGGCAGATCTCCATTCGCCTTTCGCAAGAGGTGCAAAAGGGGGGTCGACTGCCCCTCGGCCCAATTTTCGAACGGCACCCGAGCGGAGGCGAGGCAGATACCTCGACCGCGCAAGCCGTCACAGAAACAGCACCTGCAAAGACCACGGTCTACACACGGCCGGCAAAGATCGTCATAGACGAAAGCTTGAAGACCCACAGGAGCTGGCGTTAGATCTCCCCAAGCGATCATGTGGGCGGGATCGAAAATCCGGGACGATGGGCTGATCGCCAAAATGGCCACAAAGATCGGATCGCGGCTGTTCTTAACTCTGTAAACTGACCCCCTGGTCCTAGTCCCTACCTACCAGACCGATAATTAGGAGACCAGTTTCCTAGATCTGGAACGCTCGAGAACTCACTGAACAGCCCCAGACTCGCACAGGCAAGACCTGTTTGCGCGACCCCAACGTGGGAGTCGACCACAGATCAAAACTCGAACATCTCTGATCTGCAACATTCCGAACGGATGCTCCGATCACCGGAGGGGCACCAAATAAGCTGGCGATCGCGCCACTTTCCCCCCAACGAAAACAACAGAAGAGATATTCTCTCAAACTCTTTTGGGAGTATCCGAGATCTCAGCAGTTGCCGATCATCGCGCGGGGTTCGCCGCAGACCATGCACAGGCGCTTGAGCCTGCACACGTCACCCGAAACGCAGCCGAGCGACGAGTTGAATTAGTGGCAGCGGCGAGCGCCCTCGACTTTGTTCGCCACGTCTGCGATTAGCTCCCACTCCCTCTCGGGAATGCGGTTGTCGCGCTTGAGCTTCTTGGCCGGATCCTCCTTGGCGACCTTCTTCTTGTCCTCGTCGTTCGCGGGATTGAGGAGCCTCTTCTTATCCTCTTGGACCCGGTCGAGGTTCAGCCACACGGCTCAGTGATGATGCGGAAGACGTGGATCACGAGGCGGCTGAAGGAGCTGCCGATGAGCTTGGTCGACAGTGGGAGCCTGATCCAGGGCTTCGGGAAGAGTTGGCTATTGTCCCACTTTTCAGGAATCGTGACAGTCGTTTCATTCATGCTGCCGCTTCAGAAGAAGGCGACAAGTTCAGGTGCGGGAGGAGCATCTCCACCCGTTACACTAGGCTCTCGGGTGTGCCTAGGATTTTGTTCCCGTTGTGTAGAACGTGCTGCCCTCCGAAGAAGCGTGATTGAGGGGGAAGTGAAAGGAGTTCAGGTGCTTGTGTCAGAGCCGTCTGCAGGTCAGCGCATGCATCACATTCTCCATGTTAGTGATTGCGGCTCAGTCTTGACAGTCTGTGCACTGCATGACTTTCATGTCATGAACTGCTGACAGATTGCGAGTGTGTAGGCTTGACGTGGCATAGCATCACAGTTTGTTTCTGTCTGGAGCCTAGGGGCCGAATCGTGCGATGGCCAATTACTCAGAGAGTCTCTCCGTGCTGAATGCCCGGTTGAGTGCCGTGGGTTTTTCTGCAGAGGACATCCAAAAGATTTCGCCAGAGGTGGGCAACCTCAGGCGGCTGGCCTTCATTTCATCGTTCACTCCAGGTCAGACTGATGAGGAGCCACTCATGAAGGTCCTCAAGGACATTCTTAAACATGCGAGAGATCTCTACCTTCGACAGCATAGCAGCGGCGCGAGGGTCGTTCTGGAAGTATTTATTGGTGAGGACCTCGACCAAGGCTTGCGAGAACGAGATGTAGGTGGCCCTCTGCTCCGACAGTAGCCGGTAGACCTTCTTGCGGATAGAACGATCGGTCGCCATCAGGAACGGCAAGCTCGGGCACTCCGTTCGGAACTGCTCCAGCTCCAACCAGCAGATACTTCAGAGGGCCTTCCACGCGCGAAAATGCGCTAGGTTAAAGTACTCCCGAGCATAAAGAAGGCGTGGAGCGGGTTGAACAGCATGTTCACGTCCATCACGGGCTCAGGCTGATCAGCTTTTGATATGGAGAGAAGATCTGACAGCCCCGACTTCACGGTGATCACGTCCGAGCGGGTACCGATCTCGGCCGGCTCGTAGAAAGGCTCTATGCCGTGGATGAGGAAATCCTGGGACAGCTTCTTCACTAACTTCTTGCGCGGCTCCTTAGCGTCGATCAAGATGACGTCTGGGTGGACCCGCACGAACCTGTCCCTGAAGTCCACGTCATCCTCCTACGACCTCCTCCACACGAGCGCTTCGCGCGGCGTACTGAGTCTGCAAGGCCTGAGCCGCCTGCCAGACCGTCGCTAGTGGCATCAGTGACAATACCCGAGTGGCGGCGCTGGCCCCGAGCGGGGTGAAGTCCGCTTCCCACAGCTTCTTGATCGTCTCCTTCGCTCACGAGAGGTCCTGTCCGAGCATCGTGAACATCTCGACAGTGAGCAGCCCCTTGTCGGCTGAAAAGCGGCATAGGTCAGAACTGAGACCCTGCCGGCCAAATGTCTGCCGGGAGGTTCAACTTGGGAATGAGATCTAGGATCCTCGCTGGCGTAAGCGGTGTGGTCGGCCATGGCTGCGGCGGTTTGCGAAGTGCGCAGATGTCACACTTCGCAACTGCGCAGGTCGTATCGAAGCGATTCAATTTTGATCTGCTGAGATAACCAACAAGGAGTTGCGGGTGGGATCTTCCGCCTCGACCACCACCTGCTCCACGAACTCGGGCTTCTGCACCGCGAACAGGTTATGGGCGGCAAGAGCGGCTCCATCTCCACGATCGCGATCGTTGCCCTATCCTCCACTTCCCCAATCGACCGAGGCTGCACGCGGAGCCGCCGGATTCTCGGAAGCCTGAGCCTGCTCGGGCGTGTAGAGCCCCCTCATCTGGTGGTGCCGGCGGCAATCTGCTGGGGGAGAGTCTGCGGCTGAACCTCTGCAGGGAACGGCATTGCTGGCAAAGGATCGAATCTTTCCCCCACGCCGACGATCGAAAACCCGGGCGGATCGGCTAATCGCCAAAATGGCCAGGGAAAGATCGGATCCCAGCTGTTCTTACGATATGTAAACTGACCTCCTAATCCCTACCGTACTACCAGACCGATAATTAGGAGACGTCCGGCTCCATATTAAAATTAAAAAGATATACATACATGTTTTACTGATGCACTTTCGAGGCATTCTCACGTGCTTATGTACGTACTCGTTAAGACACACATAAACATCTACCTACACATCTGCATATACGTACACAATACATAGATAGATAGCATATAACATATACGTCCATATGTACACGCACATATACATTTGCAAATACCTAAAAATGCACTATGTATATATATATATATATATAAGCTATTTATGTATTTGTTTATTTATTTGTTGATGCATGTATTGTATATAAACAGCTGCTTTCACTCAGGTATTTGCTAGGTGTTAGACAGTGAAGCGCAGCTCGCTGAGTTTCCACATGTCAGACTGCGGTCCCTGTGGGCTCCCGCTGAGGTCGTCACAGGCCCGTACTTGCCGCTCTGGTTTGCCTGCAGAGCGGGCCAAGGCTTGATAGGTCGTAGATGCCCTACCTCAAAAGTGGAAGTATAGAATATATTATATTGTATTGTAGTACCAATCATATTATTATTGTATGGTTGAACACCAAACTGGGCGGCAGAAGTGGCGATAATTGGGGTGCAACGTCCCGCTGCTTGGATCAATGCGTCTCGCTCATGGAAGCCTGCTTGATCTTTTCTTGAACAGGTGACAGCTCCTCGGCTGACTGCAGAAACGCTGACAACCTTCCTCGACTCACAAAATGTCATATGAATCCTTTCCAACTTCTAGACGATGCCTGTTCCAGAGCTTTTGCAGGCCAGATTCGTAAGCAGTGTAAAGCTCGACGCGCGGGGCCATGCTTCTACAGGTGCGTGCACCGAGTAATCGCAAACTCATTCGTGGTTGTCGTACTCAGACAGCATCATCATTAGTTGTCGTACAACTCTCGGGACGCTTCGACTCGGCGAAGTCCTTAAGCTTGCAAAACACACTCGTGAAAAAATACTTGTAACTTGCGTGTGAGACCTCATTCTGTTCGACCACATCCTGATGGCAAATATGCAGGTCCGTCGACATCTATGCTGTGGCCGAAGAATGGCTGCTCAGGGTGCTACGTATCTTCCTGTCAACAGGCAATCCTCAGTCTGCCGTCTGGATCGAAGTCGTTACTGCAGAGCACAGTATGTGCTCCCACGATCTTGATGAGCAGTGTCCATCTCGCCTCCGCTTGAAGTGCAGCTTCAACCTCGGGACACAGCAAACCATAAAACATGCACGACAATATTGCCGGGTAAATCGGGAAGCATGCCAAAGCATCTGCAACGCACGGAATACTGCAGATGGTTCCGCTGCAGCGATCAGCTTCTGATACAGGAAGGCTGTCAGGCGAGCACATGTCACCACCATTTTGTTCACAATCCGAGTGGGCAAGAGGATCTGTACAGGGAACATCAGCAATGACTCTGCACCAGCCGGTAGCCAGCAAAGCACTGGTCCAATGTGCTACTGGAGATGTGCTGTACTCGAAACTGTAGACATGGGGAACCCTGTAAACACACTTCCAGTCCTGATGACGCCGATCCCTGCAGGTATACTCGTAATAGCTTAATCGGTATGTTCGGCTGCTTTACTCCAGAACACTTCCGTCGAGGAGTCGAGGAGTCTAGGACAGTCGGGCACCGTCGCATGATCCGGATCTATCTTAGACCTGACGGGACAATGACGGCCATGGGCTACTTAGAGTTTCAGGTACCACTGGACCAACTCGGCAAAAGCTTTCAAAAGTGACCACTGGTAAGGAGCCATGTGAGCGCATGCAGCTTAGGAGAAGCACGGCTTCTCCAACTTCGCAGATGGCAGGAAGCCTTCTTCCGCTTCTCTAACGCAGAAGAGGTTAAGTTCCCAGGAGTCCTGTCAGTTTGCGTCAGTTTGCATTCGGGGGCAAAGGTCAAGAACCGCATCACAGTCAAACACCCTGCCCTAGGTTCTCGATTGCAAAATGGCAGGACGGCTTGAAACATCTTGTATACACAGTTGCACAACCATCAAAAGGCCCGTCTGCATCTTCCATGGGCTTTTGATGCGAATTATCAAGGTTGTTTCATGAAGCCTGTACAGCCGGTAGTCCAAAAGACTCTAACTCGAACACTTCATTGCCAGCACAATTTATGGGTAAACCTTCCATGCACAACGTATACCTCGAAGACTGCCGGGGTGCTCTTGCATCACAATCACAAGAGTTGTTGTCTTTGCAGATTGGTCGAACGCAACGGTTGATATCGTGCTCCTTCATATGAAAATCGGACTTAGCGAAGTCGGTTGTTGAATCCCTCCGACCAACCCGCTCAGCAAAATCCGGCTACAAAATGCAGCTCTCTTTGGGATCTGTCCGTACTCGTTCACCACTTGCCTCAGAGAAATTCATCACGGTCTGGATCAGAACATTATGCACTTAGCTTTCTATTTTGTCAAAGCAGTGGTCTCGGTTTTAGCTGTTCCAAGCAAAGGGGCAGTCCATTGTACCTACACGCTCGAACTTCTCCCCGAGGACAACTCCAATCTGCCTCTCCTCCCACCGGTGCAGATGGAAAGCCGGCCTCTCAACACGCAACGGTTCGGGAGTTGCGCAGAGCGTTGGGCTGGGACTGGCAGGCACAGACGATCACGAAAGGGTTCTATGGACAATCGGGAAGATTATATATGGAACTGTCACAGAGCCATGGCCTGCCGTGAGCGTATCGGTAGTTGCAGAAGGCGACGATGTCACCAGGTTGCCATTGCACACGAATTCCGCCATCATCATACAAGCCGACCCACTGCCTCAACTCCTCCACTGTGAAGGGTGTTCCATCACCGAACGTCATTTGCAGTGGGCGCTTGTCAGGGTGAACATCGTGAACACCTTTCCACGTGTCGAACCAAGCGCTGTGATCTGCGATACTGCTGTACAGGACATTACGGTCGACTGATGGGCAGTACTCGAAAGCGGAAATCACGAGCTTTGTCTTCATGTACCGCTTGGACTCCGGCTTCAGGGGATCCTGGCACCATTCCACATCGAGACCACATTCCCGAGCTTTCTTCTCCGCTTCTTCGGGTGTCTTCGACCCGAAGGACAGCTGCCAGTGGTTGTACACAGCTGCACCCTCCATCCAGCCCTGGCCCTCATAGGCATCACGGTCAGTGAGGCAGCGGATGTAGCAGACTCCTTTGTCTCGCAGCTTTCGTCCCAAGTCTGTCTGCAGAAGCGAATCAGTCACGCTAAGGTTCTCAGAGAGGTACGTGTCACCCTTGCCCTGCGTAGCCTTTATGCTGCAGAATGCCAGGTTTTTCATGCTGTGCTGGTTGTAGGCCATCTCATGATGGTAATGAAGCCATGCATCGTTGGGTGCGCCTACCTGCCAAGCTCAGGTGCAGATGCTTTTCTTCTGACTGCAAGGCTTCAGGGAAGGGCATGTGCCTCAAAAACGTTTTGGATGATGCCCTCGCGTGGGTTGGCGCCACCTTCATAAGCCATTTGCTTGTTCACCTCGGCAGTCCGACCGAACTCAAGACAAGAAACTGATGCTGGCGCACAATTGCGGGGCACAAGAAAATTCGACCACGCAAATCACCGTTGATAATCGTGCAACAGAGACACCACAGCACGTGCATATCTGCGCATTGCCTCCGGGTCTTTGAGACCTGCATGGGGCTTGGGACCCCTGCTCTCAGACCGCCGGATCCAGCAATGAGAGCAGTTGAAGCGTGACCCCGACTCAAAATTACTGCGTCCAGGCTCAAGAAAGCAAACATCGAGCACCCCAAAGTGTGGATGTCAAGCAGAGCTTCACCAATTGCCACCAGGATAAGATTGCCTGGCCTTCTTTCTGTCCTTCGACTACTGATTTAGTCTCTGAACAGAAGGCAATTCGCCGGCCAAAGAGGGATCCCGCCACGACGAAACGCTAAGCCGCTAAACCGAAAAACCTAGACCTCCTATAAGAACCGACATCTCAAACCTTGCAAGCCCTACCTCCATAAAACGCCTGAAGGCAAAGCCTTGGCAATCCCAGGACGCTCCAATTACCAATACCCTTCAACGACACATCCATCAACCCGGCTCCAAACGCCCGCATCCTGAACGCCCAAACCTTAAACCCTAAACCCGAAAAGCCTTGAAAGCCCAAACCACAAAGCGACTAATGCGCTAAAGCCTGAGTCCCAAAGGAAACATCACCTCCGAAAACCTGGCACCGAACCTTTAACAGCCGGCCCGAATCCCTCAGCTCCTGACCCTGAACCCTCAATCCATGGCCTAAGCGTGCTAAAGCCCGGTCCCTGGTTGGACAACTTGTTGATTATTTTGTGAATCAGGTCTTGCTGGATTTGACTTCCTCCGCTGTGCATCTGTAGCTTCGCACGGCTTCGCTCTGCAACGCGTACGCACGACCTTCGCAATGTTAAGCAAACAGAACTGGCATGGGATCCAGCTCTGGCCTGTGTTGGTGAGCCGGACGACGCCGTATTGGTCGTAGGTCGTCTGCATGCCTCGACGATCACTCAACGGTGTTGTGGATGCACCGAACATGCCGAGGCTGCGTTACACGTGTTGGGGATGTCACTACTGCCTCATGCTGCACGAGGCACGGTCGAAAAGCTCCATCTCACCCCAGGTCCCAGGCTTGTAGGGTTGGCAATCCTGAGTGCTGCCATCATCCTATTCCAAAATCGCTGCAAGCCAGACAAGCATGCAGCTTGAGACACATCTCCCTGCACTCTAGCACGCGGCGATGCTGCGCGGTACGTGCAGTGCTTCCGTTTTGAAATGGACAACCCCGACAACCCCCCATGAATGATCCTGACGGCCCTCGCAGTTTGGTGTCACATTTCAAAAGAAATCCACGATGAAACTCTCCAACGAAACGCTGCAAAAGGAACTGCTATCTGCTTGGATGCGAGCGGCGATCGAGAACGTCTCCACGGGCACTTTGTCTGCGCCCTTTCCTGAGCGGTCAGAGCCACCATTCGAACAAGACTACCCGCCTATCCTGCTGCGAGCCTCCGCGCATGAAAGGCTGACATAGTTCATAAGAAGGTACTCGTGGCAAGAAATATCAGGAAATGCACACTCAGGAAACGATTCCTGCAGCAATTGATCACCATTCATCATGAACCACTATCTTCGGCTCAGCATAAGACAAGGTCTCTGAAGGCGGGGATGATGCTCGGAGCGCTGACCCAGAAACCAGGCATGCGCCCACCGGGCGGCATGCCACCGGTGAACATGGTCCGCACCTTTTGCAGGATTTCGTGTCTTCGGCTGCAGATGATGCAAGTTGTTGCCGAAACCCTGAGAGTCTGCTTCAGATCCGCTGCCTGCGGGCGAAGGCTGCGCAAGGCCGAAGAAGCCATTGTCCCGGTTGCAGGAAAGGCGAGTCCCACCGTTCTCTTTTGAACCAAAATCGAGCTGGCACGCAACCAGTGGAATCTGAGTTTGCAAGCTGGCCTGCAAGGCCGGAACAAGTCTCAGATGTCACTGAGGCTCCGACGGCATGCACAGCCTCCGCCATAGTCGCCAAGCCGCGGCGGAGAGCAGCCACCTGCCAGCGCCAGAGTAGGCAGAGTCGCGCACCCAGTCACTCTACGACCTTGTCCCCTCAGCTCTGCAATAAGGATCAGAAGCACAGCATCCGCCTGGCCTCCGAGTCCAAGGCTTGCCGCAGCGCTGCCATCTCTCCGTCCATGCGAAGGAAGCGCTGCGAAGCAGGGCGACGGTGCGGGAGTTGGGGTTGGGGCAGGAGGCAGAGGATGGCAGAGGGTAGGCAGCAAAGGCTGCCGTGAGATGCAACGACTCAGAACCGAAAGCTCCCCGCCTCCTCGAAGCGGAACAGGCTGGCTTCCAGGGATCGTGTCTGTGACAGCCATCGCATGCTGTGACGAAAGGAGCTGCATGAGTCCGAAACTGAAGTTGGCTTCCTGCTGACCCCAAAGATCATCCGAACACGATGCTTCACTCATCGGCCGTCCAAAGCCCAAGGCCTCCTCCCGGCACTCGGCACCGACAGAGCGTGGGCCTGACCGTGTAAAGGCCGCTGGCTTTGGGCACCTCTCTGTTTGAGAATACTCGGGAATAGGAACTGAAGCCTGTCTGCTTGGAAGGTCTCAGGTGCCGCACTTTGAGGTGCCGGCGTGGTGCAGGCACGCCCGCCTCAACTGCCTGTGTCCGGAAGCTTTGACTTCAGACGGCAGAAGCCCAGGCTGCCAACTGCCAAGTGCTTTCACAGCATAGTCAAGGCGCTGCCAAACCAGAACCCAGCGAGAACTCCCGAGCCGCAGAAGCTCTCAGCACAGCGCCTTTCTCTCGCGTAATGATCGCAAGGATGCCGACAGCTCCTGGCACGAGACAGGAGGGGAGTCCAGACATGGCCACGGCTGGTGCGGCTTGGGAAAGCCGGGTCCTTGAGTGCCATGACCACAACGGCCTGAAATTCAGCGAACTACTGTCAATCGCTGGGCAGTCTTACATCTACGTCTCCTGTGCAGGCTTTCGGGGGCTGCGTTTGTTGGGACGGCTTGGAGGCCAAGAGATACATCTCAAAATTGCTACATTCAGCTGAGAAAGCTGAGAATACCCTGCTCCCCTGCTGCCTGCTAGCATGTTGGGCACGGCTTCAGCAGCCCCACATGGCAAAGATGAGACCGCAGATCTGTTCACACCGCGATGCATTGAGATCGGTCCGAGACTTGAAGAAGGCTGTATCTGCCTGAAACCCTTCAAGCTGCCACAACTTGACTCTTTTCGCTGCTGTATGGCAGGTCGCGCAGGTTTGCTGAGACAGATGTAAAGATGTTTCGTACCTCATTGTCCTTGAAAGTGGCAGCCAGTTTGCAGTACGATGCTGCAGCAACTCTGGATAGAAATGGATCGCTGACAAATGCGGTAGGAGTGCATGATCCATTCCCTAAACCCCGGCTCACATCGAGTCGGAACCCAAGCCCTAAACCCAGCCTAACCGTTTGCCGCCGGCCTGAATTCCAAGCTCGAGTGATAGCAATAATGACAGTAATAGAAATAGTAGTAGTAATAATAATAATCACAGTAACAGTAATGATAATAGTAATAGTACAAGTGATTAATAGCAATAGCAATACTAATAATAACAGTAGTAGTAACGGAACTAGTAATAGCAATACTAACAGTAATAGCAATAGCAAAATCATACTAATAGTAATAGTAATACTAACAGTAGTAGTTATTGTAGTTGTAATCGTAGTAAAAGCAATAGCAATAGTAATAGTAATGGCAAAAATAGTAGCAATGGTGATAGCAATATAAAAGTAATAGTAATAGTAATAGTAGCAGTAACAGCAAGAGTAACAGTAAGAGTAGTAGTAATAGTCATACTCTAGTCATAGCAACTGTAATAGTAATAGTACTAGTAAGAGTAAGCGTAACAGTAATAGTAATAGTAATAGTAATAGTAATAGTAATAGTAATAGAAATAGTAATAGTAATAGTAATAGTAATAGTAATAGTAATAGTAATAGTAATAGTAATAGTAATAGTAATAGTAATAGTAATA